CAGCCAACGCTATCAATGAAAGTGCCTCATCCCATTTTCCATTTGAGCAGGGAGACACTTTGACTTGATGTTCATGATTTTTTAATTCATCTTGGGAAGTCTCACTTAGGCTGAACCAATACTTATTTAAACTCTGAATAGTTGTATGTATGTTGAACTTCTTTCACACTGTACATAGCCAACCGTACTAATCGAAGGTGCGTAGAAAGGATTGATGGTGATGAATTAATGAAGATGGCTGATGATGGAATGCTGATAATAGAGTTTAATTATGATGTTTGACGGCGATGCTGATAGAACAATGATGGAATAATGATGATAGTTAATGGTTATTAAGTAACCGTTAACGTAAAATGTCTGTTATTTTTTAAAATACTAATCCTTACTGAGTATTTGAGCATGAGAAGATACTTTGGTAGTTTCAATGACCAGATGGTTTCTTGCTTCAGAGAAGCCGCTTCTCAACATCTGGTCACCATATAAAATATACACCCAAGCTAACATGTCTCTTAGATAAGAAAATAAAACACGGACGAGAGAAATCCATGAGGACCTCTTTTTAAAAGGATAATAAAATACTTTATCTTGTCTGACACATTTGGCTCCTGTTCAGAAGGCAGTTGTGCCTGTAGAGTACTGGTACTTGCAGGCAACATTGGATCCTCCGTGTGACTGCTCATCAACCCCCTCAATAACTGCAGGATTTGGCTCTTAATTATTTATTGGCTTCTATCGAGTATGAACCATAATATACCCTACAGTTAATGTATGGCAACAAACACGCCTGCAAATTGGTAATAAGTGTTTGTTAATAGTCATTTGAGGGCCCATTGTAATTATGTATCTTGTTTTGCAAGAGAACGGCTCTGTAATGAGTCAGCAGTTAATGTGTTGTTGCAGTCATGACTGTCGGTAAATGTTTAACGTCACAGTCTTGTTGACAGTTGCATTTAGTGAACTTATTTTTTATAGATAAATGGCCTCGTGGCCAATACGTTTATGATTAGGTATGCAACAATCAGTTAAAATCAGTTCTTACCATTCAGCATAGCAGCGTGTGTAAATATATTAATAATTTATGCTAATTACACAACGACTAACAGCACGATATCGGAATTAATAGAATGAGAAATATTGCTCAAATAATTACTGTATAAATGTCATCAGTATGATTTGGCTGTGATTGTATGTGCTACATTATAAACCTCCCGGCATGTCGAGAGCTGTTCCTCTCCGATTGCAATGCATATTGAGCGCCATTCAAAATTGTAAGCCCCCACAAAATATTTGCCATGGTGTGTGGATCGGTAAACGTGTGCAAAGTGTGATTTTTTTCTTATTATATCTGGAGAGGTGTGAGTGCGTGATAGGCGACATTATGCCGAAACTATATAGGATGAAATTAACAACAAAAAATGTGTGCCTCGCCATACTACTGATTTATCCATTTAATATTCTTTTCAGAATCTGAATATTTATCCTGGAGAAATGTGATGAGCTATGAAGCTATTATTCTCGGATGTCCAGTAGGGGGCGGGTCAGGAAGTTACAGAAACAAACAATACAAGCGACGATCGGAGTGCAAGGTACAGGCATACCCCGTTTAGCGTGGGGGATGTGTGCCTGGAAACGAGAGCGAGAAGTGAATCAGCGCTAGACGGGTTAATCATAGCATAGGCCCTATGGAGATGTGTTCCCGACATTGTAATTTATCACGTACGACCAACATATTAGGGGTTCATTAGAAACAATACAGATAAACATGATTAATAAATACTGTTAGTGGCACATGAAATGTTTAAATAAGATTCACAGTGAGAATAGGTTTTCTCCTTTTTTCTGGCAACAAAACAGGTGTTAAGATGTTAAAACACCAAACTGAAACCTTTTACAAGGAATCATGTCTGCATTAACCACAATACTTGTGGTCAGAATGAAAAGAAAAAACAAACTCTGATAATTCTTTGGTTCTTTCGGTAAAGTCACGTATAAAGAAAAAATAATAAATTAAATAATAGCATACGACGTTTCGATTGCAACACAAGCAATCATCATCAGGTATAATGAAATAGCGACATAAAATCTAACCAGAAAAAATTATGGACAGACATATAAGCAGACAGATATCACCAAGATACACACAGCGGGCAACAAAGGTACAGAGAGGGGTGATCGTCTCTGTGGGGTGGCCTTAAATAGACAGAGGGGGGCGGAGGCAGCGAGAGGGAGGGGTTAGAGACAAAATTTACATGTCAATGAGTACAACAAAAAGGAGTGAGCAGGCTTAGGGGGAGAAAGAAACACACTAAAATTAAATAACCGAGCAAAGTATCGAAATGTTATGTAAAATGACACAGAGAGTCGGTCAACACACAATTAACGCATAGCCTGGTCGATTACGTATTTCAAAGATTGCTAAGTTAGAATTTAAGTGTGAAAATTTCAAAAAAAGACAAAACATAAAAACAAGAGGAACGGAGACACACAGACAGAGTAGACATATATAAGTTTGGTGTTTTAACATCTTAACACCTGTTTTGTTGCCAGAAAAAAGGGGAAAACCTATTCTCATGTTTTGGTACTGGCAATGGAGGTCCCATGATGAAGATTAACAGTGTACTCACCAGTGCATGGTGGGACCTGATATGGTGAACTTGGCAGCGCTGGGAGAAGGTGGGAGCGCGACAGCTTGCACCTAGTGGTTCAGTCCAATCTGACTTGACCCCCCCCCTCCCGGTTTTAAAAGGAAAGCGTTCATTGGTGGAGAGAAACGCCACGCCAACTCAATTTAGCGCTCGCTCATTGGTTGAGGGCGGAGAGCGTGAACAGGAGCTCACACCGTCCAGTATTTGGATTAGAGCATACACCGCGCTAATTTTAGATATCTATATATATAAAATCGTGCATGTCTGTCTGTCTGTGTATGTGTGTGTGGATTTCGGACCATACGCACTTTCATTGGACGGCGGTTGCCCCTGGCAACAGCTAACGACGACTTCGCCGCTTTCATTGGACGGCGGTTGCCCCTGGCAACGAGTAGCAACTTTTCTCCGCGGGGTGGACGCCATTTTTAATAGCGCGGGGGGGGGGGGGGGGGGACCGGCACCCGTACCCAGCGTTCGCCGGGTGGGAAAATCAGGCAAGGCGGGAGGCTCTGCACGGTGCTAGGCCTCGACACCCAACACGCCACTCTGAGGTAAATTCATACAAATTTCACGTCCTCTACAGAGTGGCGAGGGAGGCAGAGTGGCGAGGGAGGGACTCAGCCTCAAAACGAGTAACTGGTGTGGCGTATTAACATCGCCACTGGGGAGACAAAGGCGGCCGGGCGTGGTGGATACAAGTCCCGGGCAAAGCCGGGTCATGACTATGTGTGTATGTGTTTATGTGTATGTATGTGTGTATGTATGTGTCTGTATGTGTTTGTGTGTATGTATGTGTGTGTCTGTATGTATGTGTGTGTGTATTGTGTATGTGTTTGTGTGTATGTATGTGTGTGTTTGTATGTATGTGTATGTCTGTGTGTATGCATGTGTGTGTATGTGTTTGTGTGTATGTGCGTGTATGTATGTGTGTGTATGTGTGTGTCTGCAGCAAGCGCGTGTATGTGTACCTATGGACGCGCATGCGTGTGTTGTGTAGGGGGAACGGTAGTGTAGTGCTTAGCGTGCTGCCTGTGTCTGTGTGTGTGTGTCTGTGTGTCTGTGTGTGTGCGTGTGTGGTGTGTAGGGGGAACGGTAGTGTAGTGCTTAGCGTGCTGCCTGTGTGTGTGTCTGTGTATCTGTGTGTGTGTGTCTGTGTGTGTGTGTCTGTGTGTGTGTGTGTCTGTGTGTGTGTGTCTGTGTGTGTGTCTGTGTGTGTGTCTGTGTGTGTGCGTGTGTGGTGTGTAGGGGGAACGGTAGTGTAGTGCTTAGCGTGCTGCCTGTGTGTGTGTCTGTGTGTGTGTGTCTGTGTGTGTGTGTCTGTGTGTGTGTCTGTGTGTGTGCGTGTGTGGTGTGTGGGGAGCGGTAGTGTAGTGGTTAGCGTGCTGTCTGTGTGTCTGTGTGTCTGTCTGTGTCTGTCTGTGTGTGTGTTCTGTGTGTGTGTCTGTGTGTGTGCGTGTGTGGTGTGTGGGGAGCGGTAGTGTAGTGGTTAGCGTGCTGTCTGTGTGTCTGTGTGTCTGTCTGTGTCTGTCTGTGTGTTTCTGCGTGTGTCTGTGTGTGTGTCTGTGTGTGTGTCTGTGCGTCTGTGTGTGTGAGGAGCGGTGGGTGTAGTGGTTAACGCTACGCTGCGCTACCAACCCGGCGAACCGAGTTCGATTCCCGCTCATGGCCACCACCGGTCAAGATTATTTGAACCTCCCATAGGTCGACTCAGCCTCAAACGAGTAACTGGTGTGGCGTATTAACATCGCCACTGGGGAGACAAAGGCGGCCGGCCGTGGTGGATACAAGTCCCGGGCGAAGCCGGGTAGTACAGCTAGTACTGTATACATGTAGTAATACAAATTTGGCCGAGAACAAACATCTCTATAACGAATCATCGTTGTACAGGGTAGCGATAAACGGGGTACGCTTGTATAGGAGAGGTAACTAAATTACAAAAAAATCATAAGTTCAAGTAGCAAAAGTACATCAATTTCCAAACTTGGGCAAGGCAGCAAAACAATAGCAAAAACTGTCCCAGACCACACCAAGACAACTATTATAAAACCTCGGCGTTCCGTTTGTCCGTCAACTAAATTATAAGAGCCTCTCAGAAGGCCTGAATCAAAAAGTTAAAGAAAGTAGAATCCCCCCCTCCAGATGTGGGGGTAAAATGTTGATCCAACAGGTTTACAAAAATTGTCAACCCCCCCAAAAAACATTTTCTCCCCCTAGTACCATAAAATTTAAATGCAAAGGTTTTGATAACAAGTACAGTCCAAAATGTAATTTGTATGGCGACAGAGAGAATGTCTTAATTTATCATAATTCATAATTACCTATGCAAAAAACTATTCTTTGTGCATTCTTTTACAGGTGTCCTGGAAAACCAGAAACCCACTCCGATCAAGATGAGAGCTTGAACAACAAACCATGTAGACTTGAGCTAAAGTGTATCATTACAGACAAGAAAACAAACTGAGAAAGTACAAACTAAGAGAAGGGGACGCTTCGACACATTTGTTTTTGATTGCGTCTTCCACTTGGAAATCATCAATCTCTCAACGCTTCAGATGAACCCTACAATGTCTCATACGAGTCCAGAACAGACCTCCTCGACAATGGGCCGACTGGACTGGAGTGCCTTGGTCGCGTTTGCCAGCCCGTGGCTGCAGGGCCCGCTGAGCACCCACTCGTGGGTGAGCCTGGTGGCGCGGGGCGCCGTGCTGTTTGCCGTGGGCGTCTTCCTCGCGCTGGTGCTCAACCTGCTGCAGATCCAGCGCAACGTCACGCTCTTCCCACCCGACGTCATCGCCAGCCTCTTCTCCTCCGCGTGGTGGGTGCCGCTCTGCTGCGGCACTGCAGCAGGTATGCCGGATTCCCTTTTGTATTGTTATTATTATACAGGGTGATCCATATATGTGTAATACAAGAGTACACCGACGGTCGCCGATCTGTGGGATAGGCTCCGCCGCTTCAGCCATTAGACAATTAGGTGGATGGGGTCAATTGGGCCAAAGTTCAAGGGCGGAGCTCAAGGGTGCTTGTGGGTAACCATCTAGAGGGTTCGTGAGGGGGCGTGGCTATGGGCGGGGCTTGGTGACGTGTGAGAGGGGTTATAAGGGGAAACAGGAAGAGGCTCGTGGTCAGTGTGTGAAGTCTGGAAGCGGGACCACGTCTCACGCCTCCGGAATGCCAGCGGCCACGTAGCGGTCCGGAGGCTGTCTCCTCGCGCGCCGTCTGCCAGCGGTGCGCGGGAGCGGGGAGCGTGAGCGAGCCGTGCACAGGACAACAACAACTTACACCGCGGAACGAGGAGCGAGCGGTATTACGTGGAAAGAACGCGGAGCTATCCAGCCGTCGAGATATGAATAATTAAGAAGACACGAATCCAAGATCGTCGTCGAAGTGCTTTATTACATATGGATGCCTGACTGATATCCAGCGACCCCCTTTCGCAAATATGTCGTCACTTTATTAACACCACTACCTGATTTGCATCGTCTCAACAACCCACACTTCTCGTATCCATCGCCTTGGTCTTCGCCTTCACCTGCTCTATAAATTGCTTTGATTTATGTAGTTTCGACATTCGTCGCACCTTTAGGAACGTATCCCCGACGTAAACTGGGATTTTATTTTTTTCTTCTTGTTTCTTTCGGTAAAGTCACGTAGAAAGGAAGTAATAAAATAATAAAAATAAAACATAATAAAACAATTCTCACGACGTTTCGGCTACAACGCAAGCAGCCGTCTTCAGGTGAAGAATGAGACACTACCAAACTAGGAGCTTATATATAAGCTGCATTGGGGGTTGAAGAGCGCCTTACTTCCTTTCTACGTGACTTTACCGAAAGAAACAAGAAGATGAATCCCTGCAGTCACGAAAGCTTTAAATTGGGATTTTATTGTATATATAAATCCATTCCTAATGGTTTTTGTTCCCTTTTCAGTGACATGAATGGCAGTTGTCCATTGTGCAACACTACTTAAACTTCTGTTCAAAGCCTGCATTGTTTACATAGCAATGTTTTCATATTTTTAAATGCTCCTGTTTGAGCTCTTAGCATATCATCAATAAAAATCCATTCTTATACTTGATTCACAATCAATGGATTAACTATACAGATGTAAGGACAGTACGGGGCCAAGTTGTTATAAATAATGATTGCAGCGAACGAGGACAGGAAGGGTCAAGTGAGGTAACTGGGTGAGGCGTCAACGCGGGGGTAGAGATGGAACCCCCGGGGGTGTTATAGTGAGTCAAAGGAGAGAGTTCGGGGAAAAGGGGCATGGCAGAGCCGAGGGGAAATAAAAGGCAGCGTGGAGCGGGGCTCAGGGCTGCTGTGGGGATTCGGGGTCCGGACCGTCGTCGCTGTCATCACGGTGGACCGCCCTCATCGTCTTCGAAGGCTAGGAAAGAATTTGTATATCTCCGCCGTGGCTACTACATCAACGGCTCCTATATAGTCAGTCAGCTATATAGTGAACGTCGCGTAGCAACTACATAGAGTCACTCAGTTGTATATAGTCAACCTGCGTCCACCTGATAACATGGCATAGAGTCGGGTGGGCTGTAATATATAATCAATATATATAACTTAAGCAAGACAGCGTCTCTGAATGCTACATTACACATATAAGAAGCATTTATTTTTTTATTAATATGCTTATGAAGCTTTTTTTTATTGCACTAGATTGTATGTTCACCACAGAGACAAACAAAATAATTGATTTGTTGAATCTTGTAGTGACTTAAATTCTTGACAATTCATCAAATCAAAGGGGTGAATGTCTAACTCCATACTCGTGTTGTTTGCCATGTGAGCAGTTCAATGTTGAAATGTTTAATCGATACACAATTGTTTGTCTGTGGATTTGAGCAACACATTTTCTTGTCGTGCCCGAGAACCAATGGCATTTGAGGTTGTCTCCTCCGCACCCGCAATGCTATGACATTGCCCTTGGTTTCTAATGACATCCCACCAAAAGAGCTGCATCAGCACCGAGTACCAGGGTTGTGCACTTGTACTTGACCCAACTGATCCTCCCCCGCTCCTTCAGCTGTCACGGTTTCCTATTACAGGGCTCTCGCACAGCAGGCTGGCATGGAAAGCGTTGCCCGACACGATTCACCCTCTGCTCGCGTGACATTGCATTAATGCTGGTTGCTTGCCAATGCATTTTTATTTTTTGCCCTAAATGATTTCGCTGTGTCCGCTGAATACAGTGTTCCATTGCTTATTGCTGATGTGTGTAAGTTGCAACATTCGGTCAAACTCTTTTTGACCTCGTCCCTTGCATTCTCTGTTTTTAAAAAGTTGACATTGCAATATTTATGCCACAGCTGGGCATTATGAATATTGAAGTAATCGATTACATATTATCAACCAGTATCATTGATACTGGCAAAAAGGTAACATAGCTATAACTGCTCAACCCGAGTTATAAATGCTCCGATACTTGCGTTGTCTTTGTACTGTTCCCCTATTGGCGCTCTCTGGTCTGACAGTGGTGAGACAAGGCCATAAAGAAGGCTGTCTCCTGTGTAGGCCAATCAGTTTAATAGACAATGCATATATTATCAGAGCATGTTTGTTTGCATATTTTTGCCACAAGTATGTGTGGTTAATGCAGACTTGATGCCTTGAAAAAGGTATCTGGTGTTTGAACATCTTAACACATGTTTTATTGCCTGAAAGGGTAAAGCCTATTATATTTTTAATCATAATTACTCCTTTTTGGTGAAAATGATCAATTCGGGGATCATGATTTGTGACATGCCTAATGAATGCATCTTATGCAGTTGTGTTTACCATGTACGTAAGGGACATTCATATTATTGTGACTATAGTTATCTTAACGTGTTTCTGTCCCTTCCCCTTCCTACCTGTTGCCTCACGCCTGGCAGTTGTCATTGGGCTGCTGTACCCCTGCATCGATAGACGCCTGGGGGAGCCTCACAAATTCAAGCGCGAGTGGTCGAGCGTAATGAGGTGTGTCGCCGTCTTCGTTGGAATCAACCACGCCAGTGCCGTATCCTTTGGTTGCACCCATTGCCTGGTGTGCAGTGGGCATTTCTGACCCAAATAGAACTTGCACAACAGTGGAGTGTGCAGTGGAGTGTGCAGTCGGTGCAATTGCACCGGGGCTGTGCGTGCTGGAGGGGTGCAGGTGGTGGGCTACAAAGAGAGGGGGGGGAAGGTGGAAAAGAGGACCTTGTGTTTTTTTTCTTTCGCCAGGGTCCATGCTAGCCATGCTACTACACTGCAGTTGCAGGACATTCAGTGTGAGCAATAATAAAAAGTATGTGGATAATTTTTGGTTTTAAGAAAAGGCTCTAGTGTTCGTGACCGGGCCATGTGATGCTACAATTAAGGCTAGTATGTATGTATGTATATTTAACTTTTTTCCTACAGTTCTAAAGAAATGAGCTTTCAATCTAGATTTAAAAGTGCATCGCTCAAGTGGCTTCCTAATATCGGAAGGAAGAGCGTTCCAGACGGCCGCAGACATGGTATGCGGCCGTGTCTGTGACCGAGCCATGTGTTGCTACAATTAAGCAATGTTAAGTGAGGCCACCTGTGATCTGCACACTTGTCTGACCTTGAGTACATCACTCTAACAAGAATGTATTGATCAGTTTAAATACAAACTTTGTTGAGTAGCTGCTCCTGCTGTATTGTCAAGTTGGGTCAGCCAAGGTAAAGGGGAGATGGGTTGCAACAACGCCTGATTTAAGTGCCCGTCAGTTTTATATACATAGAAATGCCATACGATACATTTTTCGTAAGGCAGTCTAATTTAAAATAAATAGTTTATTCTGTTGACAAATAGTATTTAACTACAACTGTTCAAAAAAAATACGTTGCCAATGATTACCAATTGATGCTGAGCGTGGTGGTGTAAACTTGTTTGTAATATCACGTATGAAACTCTTACGAGTCATGCAAAATATATGCAAATATAACATGCTAATTACTAAAAAACTATCGAACTAACAATACTAATGAGACGAACAACACTGAAAATTTACAATTGGGAATATCGATTACAAAATGAGAATTAATCATGTACTTTGTAGGTTTTTCTTAACGACTGTGACCCCTTCCAGAAAGTGGACTTTGCCAACAACATCCAGCTGTCGCTGACGCTGGCCGCCCTGTCCATCGGCTTGTGGTGGACATTTGACAGATCGCGGAGTGGCTTTGGCCTTGGCATTGGCATCGCCTTCCTTGCGACGCTGGTCACGCAGTTGCTGGTCTACAACGGAGTGTACCAGTGAGTTGTGCTCACACGCTGTGCTGCTGAACCCCCACCTTACTAGTGTATTAACACTTCGAATTATGTTCATTTCCACCTGTTATAATTGAAATATCGGTTTGTCATGCGACGAACATCACTCTCATATGCAGAGTGGGAAAGTGCTCCTCTAACTATGTGTGGACCAGAGGTATCCTTGGAAGATATCTCAGAGGTATCTCTGTGATATCCATCTGTGGGCTTTTCTCCAACACGAAGGGTTTGCACTGCTGTGCAAGAGATTAGAATGGATACTTTGTCTTGTGACGTGACTCTGAAAGCACAATCGTCATAATCGCGACGGCCGGGAATGACCCGTAAAAGAGTGTACTGATTTTTAAAAAATATATTAATGCTACTTCAGTGAGATTATATGCTATGAAAATAAAAAGGTAAGTTTTAATTGCTGACAAACTGCTCAATATTTATGTCGATAGCTATTGGAGAAATACACCAAGGCAGCATGGGAGAGACAGACTCCTTTAATTTACATAATGACTCGGAGAAATGTGTTTTGTTTCATCGTATGGCTCACATATCTACATTTACCATTGTCATTGATGAATTATTCGTTGTGTTTACCAACATTCAACAAAATAAAAGATACACAAGGGTACATGGCTAATTGCCGCAAGACTTGGGAGATCATGTGAATTGGTGGCCAGCAGTCGAGACAAACGATGGAGTGCCAGCCAAATGGGAGGGTTAATGATCAAGTGATGAGATCAACTTGTATTTAAGAACTAGATGGATTGTTGAATCAAGAGACCTTGAGGGATGTGTTTGTATCCATGTCGAACTTCTTTCGCACTGTACGTAGCCAACCGTGGTAATCGGAGGTGCGGGGGAAGGACAACAAACTAAACACAAAAAGCAGTTCCAAAGAAATGTATTTTCAATCTAGATTTAAAAGTGCGTAGCTCCAGTGGCTTCCTAATATCGGAAGTAAGAGCGTTCCGGACGGCCGCAGTGACCGTCTTTGTTCGATGGGAGTGTGGTGAGTGTGTAAGTGAATGGTGAAAGGAGGATGGAGGGGAGGGTGGCTGCTGTCACCCCGTGTGACCCCCACCCTGGTGATGGCTTGGGAAGGCCTTCATCCAGCAGTGGCCAATGATGATTATGATTTAATGTACTACAATACCTAACCGTCCTTGATGAAGCAATGTATTTTTATTCTTTATTGACATACTCCGACTGCAAAATAAACACAGGTAGTCCAACTGAAGGTCACGTACACACCCGTGAAAATAAAATAATGTTCCTTTGACCCTTTTATCTGATGTAAAATCCAGAGCAAAAGTCAGCAATGCTGATGCGTTTATCTTAGAATATTTGTACATATTGGTCAGAGTTGAAATCGTGGTCAACAGGAGACGTGGAAGTGATACAATTCAAGAGGACCGCAGTTTTATCAGACTTTTTAAAATATTTAACTATTTCTAGGGCCCGTGACCTCAAGAGACCCTAGAGCTGAATGGCTGTAGCACGCGTTGCTGCCTCTGACATGCTCGGTATACACGTGGCAGAAACTTTTGACTCGCATTATTCAATGTATGTTTTTACCCTGGGAGGTGTTTTTGACAGAGTTGCTCATTTCATGTACAGCTTTTTGTGTTGATATTGAAAATTCCTCATCTTGCCCCTAATTTTGTGGCAACCCTGGTACATATATGAGGCAGAAAAAAACGAGAAAGACGGTCCTGATGAGATGCATAGTACATTCCAAACAAGACTAACCAAAGAGACAGACATGGCAAACAAATCTAAAGAAATAATAGATTATTGAGTACAATCGCGATCCCATGTCACGGCCATTCACCACATTGTGGCAGGGATCTGGAAAATAGTTTTGTATCTAGAGTCCTAATGTTTTGTGCTTGGAAACTGTATTATAACGCGTTGTATATTTTTGCATATGGAGAGTGGTGTAAAGTCAGTCAGCAAATAATAGGCTGTTGACATCCAAAGTAATTAAATCTGTTCCAGTGGTCGATCAAAACCTGGGGAAGGTCTAACCAAGCATGTTTATATTGAGTTTGGAATTACACCAATCCACCTTTTTGCTTCATAAACAAACAAGAGGGTCCAAAGGTTGAATCTTGGTGTTATACTGCTCTTTGTCCTTATGCTGCAAGCACTCACAAATCAACTGTTGATCCACCTCATTGTGGCTTTGTTTTATTGTGGCAGGTTAAAAAAAATCCCAATTGTATCATGACTGCTATTGCCACCATTTCATGAGACTAGGAAAACATTCGGAACTTCTGCAGAAGAGTCCAACCCTTTGCGTTTGAAAATGGCCCACAGAAGTAGATTTCACAGAGCTACCTCTGAGATCCCTTTAATTCACCTCTGTTCAACACAGTAGGGAGCAGCACTTTCCCATCTACTCTGCATATCACGGTGATGTTTGAAGCATGATAGTATCATTTTTATTTAAAATGTCAGAGCTGGAATTTAACCAAATTAAGTGCACAACCAAATTTAATGAGATTGCTTTTTTTGTGCTTTCATTGAAATGACTGAGACCATCATCTCACTCCACTTGAAAGCCCAGTGTAATGTCAGTGCCTGGATTCGAACCCAGGATCTAAGTTATGCCAGCTGAGCATGCTGACCTCTGAGCCACCCGGCCACCTCCTTTAATTGTATTGTTATTGTGGGCCAGTTTTTTACTCGTCCAGAATGGCGCTTTTATGTTCGAAAAACCGTGTAAATTTTGGGCTTATTTCGTTTTTTGGGAGTGGGAGGCTATTGCAGAGCCTAGAGGGGATAATGGCCAAATGTTTGCATCGACAGGTTCACAAATCCCACTTCCTACACTGCCATCTCTTGCTAAATGCACAGCCCACCAGGTTTGGGTAGTTTCTCAAGTCTACTCCATCCACAAATCCTTGCCTTCAAAAGTATTGAATTTGCCACCAGCTAAACATTATTACCGAACATCTGAGTTCAGTAATTTATATATTTATGCAATCTAATTCCAAAAATATGTATTATGAACAACTGAGTTGTTGGTGGAATTCAACCTATCGAGTAATTCACTTTAACGATTAAAAACAGGCCGGGGCTGTGCTGTGAAGTCTGCAGGTGGTCTCTTCTTTCTTAAAGGAGACCATTTGGAACTTCCAATCTGGTTTCTACGTTAGTATGCTGCTGCTCATAGGTATAATACTAGCCAGACATGAGTTAGACTGCTTGCTACAGCAAATCCAGGTCAGGCCTTAATATACAAAGCGTTTCCTTTCTAATAACCCCACTCTTATGTCCTAGGTAGAATGTAATAAGAAGAGTGGAGAACTGAGCCTATTTAGCAGAAAGGCTGTGTCTAAAGATCGTAAAAAAATTTTGGGAAGTTCTAAATGTTTGATGGATCGAACGTCATGGAAACCTAATTTAGTCGGTGTGTTTTTATTTGACTAAAAGTATGGATATAATAATTGAGAATTTTATTCAGCTCATCATCATCCTTCTGTGGTTGATAAAGTGAGTATAACGTTAAATTAATCAGTGGAAGGGTCCTGTGGCGAAGGTACCTCCTGCAAAAGAAATGTGGAATTTCTACAGTTAACTCATGGCCATTATTCAGAATGGGGACCTTCCATTTCCCGGTTGAGAATCACTGTCTCAGAAAATACCCACGTTATCTGTGATAATATCCCATAACCAAACCAAAGTACTTGTTTTCATCCTCTCAAACCAGATAAGAGTGGAGTGTTTTCCATGCCTCTTGTCAATTATTAACAAAAACATAACGTTTGCACATTAAATGTTAAATTATAATTTCCTGTGAATATGCGATAGAATGAGAAAATTTGGATTTTAGGCATTTGTAGATATAACAGATATAATTTAATTTCAAATTAAAAGGTACGTGTTAGTGCTTGCGAGTATAATAATTTCTAATCTTAGTGACAGGATGTTTGCTCCTCGATTGTACATTGTTATCCATCTCGTGTAGGTTAGGAGCTTCCAGGGCAATAACCTCTGACTTCCCGATCCATGAACTGCTGCAGTCCGCTGACTTGTTGATTGTACACGTGGCCAAAAAACGAATTTAGTTTTTTGTTTGTTATGGAGCTGTACACATTTCTAGTATCACTACTTAGTGGTTTTTTTTGTAGTTCTGTCCTGCACCATTTATAGTTGGTGAGTTAATATTACCAGCTGGCAATTGTGCTTGAATGGCCTGGTTTGTAAGGCCGACCTGGTAGATGTCACTAAAAGTTCAAAATTAAAGTTCATTGCAACATAAATTAACTGCATTGACGGATATATTGGAATATTGCTGGAGGTATTGTGGAAAGTCTAATTTAACTTTTTTGGAAAACGTTATGCTTACTGTTTATACACAAGTCGCCTCAAAGCATCTCCCTGCTCGGATGATCGTTTGAGCTGTGTTTGACGGTGGTCTTCATGATGGTGCCTTTCATCCAGCGGTGGAATTATCCACATTCCAATAGTGGGGACAATGCTAGCATGAGCCCACCACAATTCACGTCTCACAAATGAGTGCTTAATTTATGATGGGTTCACTTTGCCACCACCACCGTGGTATAAACTCGCAGGCTTTCCGTTTTGAGTCAAGTGCTACGATGGTAATGACAGCTGGCTAGACTTGTATGTGCAGTGCACTAGTGGTTGCGCACGTTATGTATATTCAGAAGTACACACACCATGGGCGTCGTAATTTGTGCACCCTACTACATGATCAACCTACAGCATTCTATCCTTAGCCATGCACATCATCGGTAATTTGTATCTACCTGACTTGGCCTTCTAAGTCGACTCGGCCTAAAATCTTTGCCCTGTGTAGCTTGGTCAACATCACTTTGGGGACGGTGGCAGCTGGAGGTGGTGTTGCACACAGCTCTTTTGTGGTTTTCTGGTGTTAATCGGTGGTTGCTAACATGACTCGCCTTAATAATCTTTGTGTGTATGCATATTTACACCTGCATGCATATGTGCGAAGCAATGTTAGGTTAACCTATGGTCTCCCACGCTTGGGAACAATTCGTGGCCTTATTGGTTTGGCATTTTCGTCATCTGACCCTTGCATTACATCGCGCCTGTAGTCTACTATAAGAGGCGATCTTGTTTACTACAACTTCTGTTGCCAAGCCATTGGCATCAGCCAGATCAGGTCCGAAAGGCTATATGCCCTCTGAATTTCACAGCCACCATGCATAAAACAGGCTGCTATAGGCTCTGGGGCTATGTGGTGGGCAGCAGAGGGCTTTGCAGCAAGGTGCATTGTAATGTACTTCTTGGCTTCCACGTCGATGCACCCTTGCTTTCATCACCTCCCCACTGACGAGTGTGGTGATGTATGGTCAAATAACCCTCACGACCCACACGAAATTAGGAGGACTGTACATTTAAATTAAATAACAAGAATAGAAAAGTCTTATAACAGGGTCGCTTGCAAATACCATTTGATGTCGCGTAAAAAGTTATCCATGTTGCAGGATGTCATTTGCTCCATATTCTGAAGAGTAAATGATGAAAACATCTGTCCCATTGTGTGCGTTAGTGTTACACAATTGAATTTTCTACCTACCACAACGTTTTTGGGATTCACGAGGCGTTTAAGTGAAACCACTTTCTCAAGTCACGTGTGCATCACGGGGTGCTTGAGAAACTCAGGTGTGTGTGTGTTTTAGGAGGCGATGTGCAAATTAAGGTACCTCATAGATAAGAGTGCGTCAGCAAAGGAAATAGGGAAGCTGTTGAGACTGGACTTGAATAAGGGGCCAGAGTACGATGCAGATGGGTTTCTCTCGTACGAAAGTTTGCATGTTTCAGACGTTGACAGTGCTGGCCCTTGCACATTGTATTATATCGCAATACACTTTACTAGAAACGTGCATACAATACAAGGCAGCAATTTCACTTATCTCGTTTTAGCCTACCACTGGAGAGGAGTTGTATCTGGTTTTATTGCACGGTCATGAAAGGTCCTCTTTACAGGTTTCACTGGAGTTTACTTGAGGTTGAGGAGCAGTCCCTATTGCACACGCGCAATAGACCACGTGCTTTTACACAGCATTTTATTACACATTCCATTGTACTGTAATGTCTTATTGCACTTTTGACTCTTACATGTTAGTTTTATTATATTATGTTTGTTTACACAGGAAGCCTCACTTAGTCTCAAGACTCGCTTTCTGGGGGGGGGGGGTCCTGCCGAGTTTTTTGCAGTAGGGGGCGATGTTGCTTCGTGCAATCGCAGTTGAGTGATATGGAAATCGGAGAAACCGGAGAAAACTCATGCAGAACAGGGGGAGAACCATACAAACTCCAGACAGAAAGGCAACCTTTCTGTCTGTGGCCAGATGTTAACTACCTCGCCTGGCATGAAGGAGGTGCGTGGGTTTGATCCCGATCCCGATATATTTGGAGTTTGCATGTTCTCCCTGTGATCGAATGGACTTTTCTCTGAGCCCTCTGGTTTTTCCGTCCACATTTAGAAGCAACATGAGCCGAGACTATTTGGCTGCTAGAAATTTCCCCGTGATAAGCCACTTCATTGAGCTCTCATTTGTGGCCAGGTTACTTCTGAAAATGAGCTATATAGCTCAGTCGGTCTTTAGTTGAGTTCTAGTTTTAAACGACCAGAGTTCAATCCCCAGCCATAGCTAACAGCAGTGGCAAGTGATATCTGAACCGGTCCTCGGTTCATCTCCCCTCGCTCACCAACCTGCACTGGTCAAACAACCCCCTTGACTAACATGGCAAGGGGACGACTTCATCCATCAGTGGATTGAAACTGATGAAAGGCAAAGCTCTGCAATCGCTTACTCACGCCACTGCTGGCCGGAGGGTCTACCACTAGAGGGAGTGCAAGTTGGTATTTGAAAGGACTCTTCCATGTTGGCCAGATATCTTGAAAGAGGTGGCAGTACCCACTCTTTACCCCCACCACTCGTCATTTGCTGATTGACTGTGGTATATCCATTTTCACTGCTGGGTGGAGAGAGGTGCTGAATCATCTGTACACTTACCCATTGTTTTAACTGCTATGCTCGGAGATCAAGGCACACCTCCGACCTCTGAATTGCTAGTCCAGTGTGCTCCCTGTTTATCCCATGGCAGCGTAGAAATTTAGAACGGGCCCTGTCAGTTTAAATTACGCAATATAACTATTGACTGTACTGTGGCTGTTAGTGACGGGAGCCGGTCTCTCTCTCTCTGTTGACAGGTACACATCTCCAGACTTCCTCTACGTGCGCTCCTGGCTGCCGTGTATATTTTTTGCAGGAGGAGTCACAATGGGGAACATCGGCCGGCAGCTCGCAATGGTAAAACCAAACTCCACAACAAAGCACGTGCGTGACACTTCACACCCTCCCCATTAAACATTTATGTGGAAATGTTAAAACTTCCCTCGCACCGTACGTAGCCAACCGTACAAATCGGAGGTGCGGGGGAAGGACAACAAACTAAACACAAAAATAAATGTACGCCTTTTGGCGTCCTCTGGTCTAACACCGTTTTGAGACTAGGCTCAAAAGAAATCTGTCTCTGGTGTGGACCAATCAGTTTCAAAGACAATGCATATATTATCAGAGTACGTTTTTTGTTTGCATTCTGACCACAAGTATTGTGGTTAATGCAGACATGATTCCTTGTAAAAGGTTTCAGTTTGGTGTTTTAACATCTTAACACAGCTGTTTTGTTGCCAGAAAAAAGGGGAAAACCTCTTCTCAAAAATAAATTAGTTTTTAATTCTAGATTTAAGAGTGCATAGCTCCAGTGGCTTCTTAATATCAGAATATCAGTGGCTTCCACAACATGGAACGCTGGACCAACATTTCGCCAACCACCTACCAACTTTGGTGCAAAGTTGCACATTTACTGGGTCCTTTATTCTCTTCAAGTGGCTTGGTTGCTGCATTGGTTTTGGCTTTGTCTCTGAACTGTTTAGTACGCGTTAACATTTATAACCCTTTTGTCAGTCCCCTGCTGCATGAGATTTTCCCCATACCATGTCGATCATAGCTGTTATTTTGCTATACTTTACTTCACCAAGCTGGTGAGTGCGGATTGTTGCAGGTGGGCAGCGTAGATATATGGGAGCTATAAAAGTAGAGTACAACAATGTATTTTGCGACACGGCTCCTCTGCTGTCCACCACGTCGTCCTACAGCCATGCACGATGGCCGCCTATCCAAGCCCTGATCCAGGCTTTGGAGGTCTGTCGAGATTAAGTGCATTCTGGGTGATGTAATCAAAGTAATTTTTTTTACATATTATTTCAACATAAGTGGAAGTGAGTTTTCTATATATTCCAGACTTGTTTTTACAATGTTTACATTGGTGTCGTGTGCAGAAAACTAGTATGTTATGAGATCACAGCTTATAACCAAACAATCTTGCGTCCATTCGATCCAATCGGGGCTCATCAGAAACCAAGCAGGTCGCATTTCATCGTAAGAAGTTTGCAAAAAACAAAAACGATTGCGATCTTTGCTATGTCATCATAATTTCCATGAGTCATAATTCACTGCTGGATGAAGGCCTTCCCAAGGTGCAACCATCTCCCATACAACATTTCATCTTGCGCTTGCACATAAGCTAATCTCATGACTCCCATCTCCTCGGTGGATGTCCTTTCGACTTCTTAACATTGGCTGCCACTCCATCATTAGTTTCGACCGCCAGCCATAACACCTTCGGGTAAATGTTCTGCCCAAGCCCACTAGCATGTTTCAACACTAAGTACGTCAGCTCATGAGTTATGTTTCAGTTTGGGCTGCGGCGTATTAAAACGGAATGTTAAAGGCTTTAAGTGTTTTTGTTGTCTGCCTTCTCGTGTCGACAGTACGAACGTCAGCTGACTCACGAGAAGCTGCACCAGGAGTGAAAGGATGGTTGGTGTCAGCCACGAAGCTTCGTGCACAACGGAGGCGAGGGGAAAGCGTGGAGAGAGACAGAGAAGAGAGAGGGGGGTGATCCCATCGGGAGTCGGTCCCAGAAGAGCGTGAATCTCCAGTACGGCTGCACAGTGGGTTTCGAGTTGGATACTGAGTTAACCACGTGGGAAGAGCTGTGTGTGTATAGGGCGGTGTATGCTAGCGTGACGCACGCCGCCACGTTGCAGTGAGCAATGCAAACCCAATATGAAAAGCGACACATTTGCCAACAGCTTGTTGATACGTAGACAGTAATTAAGTGGTATACACAGGTCACTTCCGAGTACATTTTAAGAATGTGGCCATCTTTTTACATGAACGGTGTTGTTTTGTTGATATCCGATCATGCGAGGTACGATGCCAATGATGAAATCGTAGATCTTGCTCAAAGCATCCAGTATTTGTAACACCTTTCAGAGTTCATCAGTAGGTGTTAGAGTTGGTTAGAGAACTCTGATCAGTTTTCTTTATACGGAAGTATTCGTGTCAGTTGAGTTTCATAACAAATCAACTGTAAAGGTATTTCATTTTTTACTTTTAATTTTAGCATGTGCGATTACCGGAGGAAATGTGTACATTGCAGTTAAAATGTAATGCACCATTTTGAAATGAACAACATAAAAGTAAATGTATTGATGCTTCAATGGTTGATCAAGAAACTCAATTCAAATTGTGGTTGTTTTAAGCATTTGCTATTCAACTGCAAGCAACCACAACTTATCAGAACGTGAGACGATTAGAAATCGCGTGCCCCTGTGCATATCCCAGCATGAAGCTATACATTTGGAAAAGTAATAGCTAAATTGACGTAGGTTTTTATCCAACAGTTACAAAATAATTGGCAAAAGTGGGACATGTTGAAAGGAATTCGACAATTTCCATTCACCCTTTATGTTTTTGTAAATACAGAGGTTGTGCCTTTTGTGAATTCTCAGGGCATATCCAAAATACTCTTTGGTTTTTTTCAAATCTAGAACATATCCAACATATTTCGTTATAGCTCCTGTTAACTTATCGTTTGGAATGCATACACATCGACCGTTCCCTATCCTCATGATCGGAGAGGGACCTTGTCCAGTCTGGAACGTGCGAAAGAAACACAGGTTCGTTAACGAATGACAAAGCCCAAGAAACAACTGGGTTCTGTTTAGTTTCTATGTCAGAGCAGGGTGTCGGTCCACAGAGATGCTGCTGTGGAAATCCACTTTGTGTGAGAATAATAACGTGCCAGTGCACCCCCAGAAGCCCATTTACTGGTTCGAGGTGGATTTGTGACCGTTATGAGCTCCACAGATCCTGAGCTCCATTCACTAAACATGAATTTTCTCTTCCCCCCCCCCCCCCCCCCCGCTTAGTGATGCTTATCATGATGTTGCCGTGAGTTAGAGGGGCAACACCTTGTGAACGAAGGTTATGGCCTTCAGCGTAGCTGCGAGTCAGCATTGAGGCCGCACAGGTGGCTTATTGTGCATGTGTGCATGGTGCGGTGAATGAATCGGGACTCCCTGAAGTCCGATTAGAAGTCAATTGATATGGTTTGGTGGCAATAATACCAGACAGAGGAGAGTAATCCCCACGTGGCAGTTGTATGCACAAGCATAGAGCTACAAAATAGCAGCTATCTTGCTTACGGGTTGTCTTCCTTTAAACGAAACCTCATTCGTGTTAATCATTACGGCTGGCTCCAGGCAACCGATCTAACACTCTTATTCTTATTTAAAATCCGCTACGGTGTATGTTGTCACTCCAAAATGAACAATGTTCTGAGTATTTTGCCATTTGCAGCCTACTGGTTTGTTGATTCTATACCTTCTTGACACTCGGTATTTGTGGATTACCTCTGTAAGTAGACTGCAACAGATGTCCCTTGCCTCTTGCTGCTATGCTACTGCAATACATGTTAAGGTGCACAGCACACACGTGCATCCCTTCCGTTAAGAATACTTGAACGTGACCTGAATATTCAGAGATTTAAGTAATTGTGCAAATGTTTAGCTTTGACTATTGAGATCCTCTCAGAGAATCTGTATCTTAAACGTTTTAAGTGCAATACTAGCAGACGATATGCATCCACGCCTGCGTAAAACTATAACACAATCTTCATCTATAACTATATAGGTCTTTTTTGACTACCTAGAGGAAAAAAAGAAGTGGCTGATTGGCTTTTGTAAATAAAAAATAAATATCACTTGTGTATTGATAACCTTACGTGTGTCAAATATATTAATTTGTTAAAATATTCATGCGAGCTATTGGTTGTTTGAATGTTGATGTGATATTTCTTACATGCTTGCTGGAATTTGCTTTCTCTGTGCATTGATGTAGGGTGTGAAAATTGCGTTACCCCCGTCTCGAGGAAATATCTCTTACATATAAAAAGAAATATCATAAGACACACGGAAACTCTTGAAATGTCTTATCTAACACACATAAAACATTACTACAAGTGATGGAAACTCCCAAGGTTAACAGGAGGTGTCCTGTGGAGAAAATGGCTTCCTTAGGAATGTGGAATTTACACCGCTAGCTCGAGTCTCCGCATTGGAAATGTGTGCTGCCCCATTACGTGGGCAGGCAGACTCGTCAAGTTTAATTCTGCAATCGCTTGTCCGATGTTATTTTAGAGTCCGTGCCAAAAACGACCTGTTATAAGGCTAATTCAAGCTGATTATTTTATTGTCTGGGTATAAATGTTGCACCTCTTGAAATCATACTCAAGCAATGTGACCTTGAGTGTGCACGATGAAGTTCAAGAGTGGAGGCCCTGGACAAGTGTTATAAAAAATAATAACAACCCAACATGGGTAGATGAGATTATCTGGCCATGGCACTCAATCAGTGTTTACACTGGAGAGTTAATTCTGAATAAATGCTCAGATTAGAACAAAATCAAGAGTTTAATAACACTCCCTTGTGTGAACACCGCTGATGCGCTTCTTGGCCTTGCTTAAAGGGCAATACTCTACAAAACAAACGTGTACAATCTTCTTAGAATGACATCACAAACATCCGAGGGGCCAGTTGAATGCAGCACGTAATATTTGTATTACATTTTTAACTATTCTCAATGTATTCCAAACTGTTCGGCCACATTTAGCAAATGTATAAGTGAGTTCATTAAATAAATATTGCGTTTCCTTGAACCGGCAAAAGGGTATCTCTGAATGTGTTTGCCGGGTATGACCGAGACGCGAGCAGGGTGTTGCATGTTCCACGCATCCAGTGTTGGGAGCATTTAAGTAAATTAATTAGTCTGATTACCAGAGAGAAGTAACCTCTTTTCACAGTAGCATGGTCTGATTACTTAGTTTTATTATGACTCACAATTTCATACTGGGTTTGTTTGGCCATGGAAATAGAAAGTCAAGTCCTGTACTATGGCTGTGAACTTCGTAGCATAATCTGCATTGGCTAATGTCCTCACATCAAACCAAGCTGCTTATATTATGTTTCCATTTTTTTTCTTAAAATAGGATAAGTAAACAACTGATACAAGCTAACTAACGCTGAAAACAGAATATGTCATTGCCAATACCCTACCTTTGGTAATATAACTACAATAGCATTGCTTACAATGCATTAGTCCCCACTCTTGAGACTCTCTGCTCTGTGACCTTGCTTTGTGAACCCAGATACATCTCGGTCGGGCAGAGGGCTCCCAATTGTGAGTCCAGGGGTTCACATCCCAGCCAGGTTTGACTCGGTCCATCATCACCAACATCGTCATCCCTCTAGGATCAATGCAATGGGAACCACATTTGATCACGTGGCGCTGTGGGCATTGTCCTTATATCCCCCGTACAAGGAACCAACCACCGTCGTAATAAATGTAGGATTATGTACGTACCATAAATTCAGTGTAATAGCATATTTCTGTATACTTGTGTTCAAACTCTAATGTATATACATTTCCAATTGCCTAATGCCACACTGTAAAAAACAAGTGAATAATTGATAAAGGGGGTCACTGATATGATATGACATGTTTAGCATTGCCTGGCAGGTAAAACAAGAGGACTTATTCACCTCCGGTTTATTTGACTGAACAGTGTTGCTATCTCATAAAGTTTTTTCCCCCGCCTGCAAAAGCACTTCCATTTTCATTTGATCTGCATTAAAATGAATTATAAGTGGACAGCGCTTTGAGCTGCGTGGTTTAAATATTAACAATTGATGGCGCTAACACCATGGTGGACACGTGCAGCTTTCGGCGGATGGAACTTGAACGTGTAAAGCGTGTACCGATACTTGCCGTTTGCTTCGCGACCTATGTAAGACATGATCTGACTAGGATCTGCGCTGTATAACATCTGGACGGTCGCAGGACGCCCACGAAATAGAGCCTAACAACTTATTTGGGCCCTGCTGAAATAAGAACCTAAAACTTGTGCGATAAAATATGAATCCTACCAAGTTTGTGCATCTATATAGTTGTATAGACCAACATCAAACTGCTGTCTAATTATATATATGTGTATATTAAATTTATGGTACCTTTAAGGACACCCTGTACGGTTTTTTTTCCACAAAAAATTGACTTGCCTGTCGTTATACATTTATGTGATGCAAATTTGGCGAGCTTATTTCCTCTTTGTAGGCAATACGCACCTCGCTCGAATGTTCATACAAAAGTCGATTAAGTCTTCATTGTTTGTCGGAAAAAGCTCTTTTTTATGCGACGTTAACCGATAAGAACGCTCTTGAATTTTCTTCAATAAAACATACACCACCACGTGCGACAACTTCGGTGTCATAATGTATGTGGAGTTTTCAAATCACGTGCTGAACCTAAATATAAGGTATATCGCTCAGATGCTTTTCTTCTCGAAACTATTCATTTAGCGTTGCACGCAAAAACAATGCAAACTGCATGGTAGCAATGTTAGTAAATGTGTAGAATTTTCCTATGAGAATCTGGAATGTGATTAATGTATTTATTGCAAAATATAGTTGGGGTGACACTGGTTAGTGCTTGATTCACAATCAAAAGGTTACAGTGCCAATTACCATTGGGGGTGGGGGTGATTAAGGCCATTATTTTTCTGGGGAGGTATATAAAATTAGTCCCATTTTGTGAAAAGTAAAGTGGTTGAGCTGTGGATATATTGACCCCTGTCATAGTCATGTGGAGTTTCCATTGCTGACTTAGCACTGCCAGTAGAGGTGAATGTCATTCCAATGCTCTTGAGGAGGGAGATGCATCGACTTAAAGTTCTAAGTAGCTGCTTCTAACTTTAAGGACAATATCGTTTGCAAACATAATTGGTCAAATGTCAAATGTGAGAATGAGTCATCAGGGTCGAGACACACTTGCTACGAGTTTACTGCTCTTTCAGAATGTAAATTGCCAGACCTTGACGCAGCCAATGCCTCTATGAAGCTACTTAGCCAAGCTGTGTAACTGAACAAGTGTGCCTTTAATCTTAATTTTGGAGCTTTCGTGACTGCAGGAATTATTCTTTGGTTTTTTCGGTAAAGTCACGTATAAAAATAAAATAATAGAATAATAAATTAAATAATAGCATACATGCTATTATGCTAATATTTAATTTATTATTTTATTTTTATACGTGGCTTTACCGAAAAAACCAAAGAATAAGTGTGCCTTTGTGGGTATGTATAGGACTAAAGTACAATAGTTCCCGTCTGGAGCGGCTGGTTCTCACCATAACAATTAGAATCGCGGTGGGGTTGAATCATTACGCGCCGAATCGGAAGGTCCGGAGATTACGCCTCACTGCAGTCACCGATTGGCTCCAGTCACTTGCCCGCCAGCAGTCGGTTGCTTCCGTATCACTCTTCTATCGCTACTACCGCTACTGTTCCCCATGACCACTCCGTGATCTCTCCACGCATGGCTAGAACTCGGTCTACCAGGCACTTGTTCCGTCCCACGCATGGTGTTCAACCACCACACGACCGGTTACAAACATTGCTGCTCTCTCTGTTTCCCTTGTACTGCCCTTTTTTGGGATTGCCAGGGCCAACAAAAAATATTTCAAAAATACTCTTAAAAATCTAACAGCAGTGCGTACTGACTGTGGTGGTACCTGCTATGATTACAGCAGTGCATACCGACTGTGATGGTATCTGCTATCACTACAGTAGTACATGCTGACTCTATAGCAGTAGTTATCGACTCTATAGCACAAAGTACTCACCTGACAGAGTGGCGTGGTGAGGCTTAGTCCCGTGCAGAGCCTCCGGCCTCGCCTAGATTGTCCAGCCGGCCGAGGTGGCACCTTGGCAGGCTGCTACCCCTGACCCCCCTCCCAGCCACGATCTTCCCAGCCACTCTGCAGTAATATCTATGGCCTATAGTGGTAGCATCTAGCGACTGTATATATTAGTAACTGCACGCATCGGGGTGGGGGGGGGGGGACATCACACAGTGAAGATTTAAGCTCAGCGTTTATTGTATTTCTAAAGCATTTTTAACGCGAAAGAAAATGTCCCCCTCACTCCCACCGAAGGCGTGCGACTTGGCATGGGCTGTCCCCCCCACAAAAGGAGCATCAGTTGGTATGGTCGTGCACGCGTCATAAATAAATAAATAGCGCAAAAAATCGCACTAAATCGCTAATTAAACTTATTAAAAGTTGACTGATGTGAAAAAGGAATAACGCTTGCTCATGGCGGGGCTTACGCATGGTACCTGACTATTTGGAGAGCCAAATCCTTCGCAAGCGCGCGAATGCACACAAAGCCACAGACAATTTTTGACTTTATTACATATATAGATAGATAACCGACCAATGCCACTTCGATTAAAACAGTTCGTTGGTTCATATGATTGCAAATGCTATTCGGGTGGCAGGGGGCTGGGGTCAACTCAACAGTTTATTATCCCTTTGGGGATGGGGGGGGGGGGTCGATGAAGCGACCACTACTTTGCGAGCAGTCAACATTGGTTAATCTATATATGAACTTGTCTCCATCATGGGAATGTGGCATTTCCATCAATTGACTCAGGGTCGCCAACTGAGACGAGAGCACGCCATCCCAGACAGTGCTGGATTAAGCTAGTGCGGGGCCTGTAGCATGTTAAAAAGTGGCCCTAAATAAAATAAAAACATAAATATTAAAACACAAATTTGTAACGTGCATAGTAAAAGTAATTGTATTTTTTATTTGCTATACAGCCAGATAATACGACAAATCGCTAACCTTAAATACCCAGTCGTTCATAAAAGTTGTAAGGCAGTATAGTACTATAGTAATAGAGCAAATGCATAATCACTGAACTGGAATTGATAGCTTGAAAGCATTTAGCGCGGGGCCCTTGAAAGTGCGGGGCCCGTTGCATATGCTACTTTTGTTATTACGATATCCGGCATTGATCCCACAATGCTGGTACACGGGCACTGACCGACTCCTCCTGCCGTGATTGCTGTAAAGCGGAGCCCTGTGTGGGGTGTGCAGTGACACAGCCTCGCCAGTGCATGGCGCCAGAGAGTTGCAGCGGTGTGCGCTGGAGGTTGTGCAAAACAACGCAACCTTACGTTCCTGGTACCTTGACTCTTTATAATTTTTTACCAGGTAAGGCCCACTGAACTATACAGATCTTTTTTTCAACGAGTAATGACAGAGCAGATGAGATTTGACGACGGTCACAGCATAGCGCGCTTCTTCAAGAAGCGCTTCTGCGGCCGCCTGGAATGCTCTCACTTCCGACATTAGGAAGCCATTGGAGCTATGCACTTTTTACATCAGTGGTTCTTAACCTGGGGTGCACGCATCCCATGGGGGTGCGAGATGCCCTTTCTGGGGGTACGAGACATGGCCAGATCCTTTTAGAAGGTAAATCATAGAAACACAAATTAAGCACGGGGACGTGAATACAACTATTTTGTTTAATCAAATCGATGTATTTATTAACGTTAAACATGTGTGTAACTATTAAAAACCAAAGGGGTCCAAGGCTGCAGTAACGGTTAAGAACCACTGGTTTACATCTAGATTGAAAACTCTTTTCTAGATTGAAATTTCAGCCGCTGGAGCTATGCTCTTAAATCCAGATTGAAAGCTAATTTCTTTAGAACAGTTTTTTTGTGTTTCGTTTGTTGTGCTTCACCCGCACCTCTGATCATCTCGGTTGGCTTCGTACGGTGCGAAAGAAGTTCAACATATATACGTAGTTGGACAGGAGGCC